AGTTAATTCAAGTTCCGAAAATAATATTTAAAAAAAGAATTTTTGAATTTTTTCATTTATTTTACATTTTAAAATTATTTTTTAGAATATGTACAGTATAATATTCTATTAGAATATTTAACGTATTTTTTTTTAAAAAAAAATGGGATTTTTATTTATTTTTTTATTTTTTTTAGTCAATTCAAGTTCCGAAAATAATATTTAAAAAAAGAATTTTTAGATTTTTCCATTTATTTTGCATTTTAAATTTTTTTTTTAGAATATGTACAGTGTAATATTCTACTAAAATATTTCACGTATTTTTCAAAAAAAACGGGATTTTTTTTTATTTTTTCTAGTTAATTCAAGTTCCGAAAATAATATATAAAAAAAGAATTTTTGGATTTTTCCATTTATTTTGCATTTTAAAATTATTTTTAGATTTGGTCTCACGGTATCACAAAATTAGAATGGTCTCAAATGAACCTGAACCTATATATATATATATATATATATATATATATATATATATATATATATATATATATATATATATAACACACACATATATATAACACACACACACACACACACACACATATATATATATATATGTGTGTGTGTGCGCGCGCGCGCGCGCATATTGAGGACACTTGTCGAGCACATATCTTTTGTGCTAAGACTCCATCGGTTAATGGAAGATTCTTATGTGCTAGCTCTTACATATCAACTGCAGAAATCGCCAAGTATTTTCAGGGGAACTACCCGCAATTCCATTTGAAACAAGAGTAGGTTGATCTTCATAATCGGAAATTTATTGTTGTTTTGTTGAAAGTGTTACTTTGTTGCTATATATATATATATATATATATATATATATATATATATATATATATATATATATATATATATCAGTGTTGCAGAAATCGGCCTAATCGGCGATTAATCGCTAATCGGACCTCCACCGACGAGATTTATTGCTAATCGGTCACTATAATCGGGCTTGGTCAATGCAGGTCAAATTCGGAATTAGTCGGACCTAATCGGGTCTTATCGGACCTAATCGGAGTTAATCGGACCTAATCAAGTTTGGTCAATGCAGGTCAAAATCGGACCTAATCGGACTTAATTGGACCTAATCGGACCTAATCGTCGATTAATCACTTTTTTTTTGGAGAATTAAAGATATATTTATAAATTTTTTAATAATTTTCTTAAGAATTAATGGTCCCCGATTAATCCCTAATCGCTAGTCCATCGATTAGCGGCCGATTAGCGATTTCTGCAACCATGATATATATATATATATATATATATATATATATATATATATATATATATATATATATATATATATATATATATATATATATATATATATATATATATAGGTTCATGTGAGACGGCCTAATTTTGTGAGACCGTGAGACGCATGTTTTTATTTTTTTTAGTTAATTCAAGTTCCGAAAATAATATTTAAAAAAAGAATTTTTGGATTTTTCCATTTATTTTGCATTTTAAAATTATTTTTTAGAATATGTACAGTATAATATTCTATTATAATATTTAACGTATTTTCAAAAAATGGGATTTTTTTATTTTTATTATTTTTTATTTTTTTTTAGTCAATTCAAGTTCCGAAAATAAAATTTAAAAAAAGAATTTATATATTTTTCCATTTATTTTGTATTTTAAAATTATTTTTTAGAATATGTACAGTGTAATATTCTATTAGAATATTTCACGTATTTTTCAAAAAAAACGGGATTTTTTTTTGTTAATTCAAGTTCCGAAAATAATATATAAAAAAAGAATTTTTGGATTTTTCCATTTCTTTTGTATTTTAAAATTATTTTTAGATTTGGTCTTACGATATCACAAAATTAGAATGGTCTCAAATCAACCTAACCTATATATATATATATATATATATATATATATATGTGTGTGTGTGTGTGTGTGTGTGTGTGTATATATATATATATATGTGTGTGTGTGTGTGTGTGTGTGTGCGTATGTGTGTGTGTAAACAAATGATACTGTAACTAGCTGATGTGGGACACTAACATAAACTTCAAAATTTGTAACGAGGTTCTTGTTTCAGGTACTTTGAAGAACAGATGAGACATACCAAATGGGGCTCCAACAAGCTCGAAGATTATGGTTTTGGTTACAAGTACAATAGACGATCTTGGATGATAGTCTCAAATGTGCAAGTGTCTCAAAGACACTCCAGTCAATGTCAAATTAATATCAAGAAACATAAGTAGTAACTAAGGACATATCAAAATACATGTACAAGACTAGGTTTTGTTACGTTTGATTAAGGCAATGTTAGTTGAAAATCTAGCGGATAGCTGAAAAGCTATTTGTTAAATAAAAAGTTAGCTAATAGCTGAAAAGCTAACTGATAAAAAATCATGTTTGGTAAATCTAGTGAATGTGTTTCTATAATTAATTAGGGGGTGTTTTTGGAAAATTTTAAAAAAGCTCTCAAAAAGATAGTCTAAGTAGCTTTTTAGAAAACTAGCTTATAAGTTACTTTTTGGCTTACCAAACATGACAACATAAAAAAGCTCGAAAAATAAGCAAGCATATCAGCTAGCTGTGGCGCGCCAAACATAGCCTAAGTTAAGCCCTCAAATCACTTTACGGCATTAAAAGCACTTTGTTGGTCTTTAAATCTTTTTACCATTAGATGTTAGTCAATGTGATTTAACTTCCAACTATCTTAATTACCTATAAACACAGTTAGCAGGAATGTTGTTGGTGGTGTTTTACCTTTTAATTAACGTGTTAGCCAACCAACGCAAACATTTTCAATATATTTTACCTTTTTCTATTTGTTAAACACACAAAGCCTTGTAGAGACGGTTATATCGATTTTCAACCCTTATGCAACCTTTTTCGAGAGAAAATACTAATTAATTGACCAACATTATAAAAAGCTTTAATAGAATAGTCCTTAAGTGGAACCAAGTGACTACTCTTTGAAGTTAAATTCGAGTCGTGGAAACTTATCAAAATTGCCTTATACAAATGTGCACTGCATACCTTTCACATTCGTATAAATAAGTGTGCACTTTCGAGTCCCCGTTCATTCGTATAGATTTTAGTTGCACAAACTCACCAACACTGATGAATCCAGTGTTTAATAGAAGAAAATTTTCCACTAGATTGCAAAAGTGAGATGCATGTCGCACAAACCTTCTCTATGTTGTTGATGAAGGCAATTTGGTACACCGACTTGTAAGTCACGTGCCATGTGTTCTCGATTAGATCATGTGACATGTAGCAAGATAAAGTGACTTGTGGTAAGTTGCAAAATTAGAGCATCCACGATAAGAGTTTTTTTTAGCAAAAAACTATTCTTGAAATATGAAAAAGCTATAAAATAAGTTTTTTCAATTGAAAGTTTTTTCTAAATGTGTGCTAATTAACAAACTATTCACATGAGCTTTTTCAATTATTGTGTGGGTCTCAAACTCTCATGTGTTTTCAACCAAATAGAAATTAACAAGCTATTCAAATGAGCGTTTTCAATTATTGTGTGGGTCTCATATATTTTCAACCAATTAGAAATTGACAACTTAATTAAAAAAATATAAAAATCAATTTGAAAAAACTCTCCTTGAGGAGCTTTTTATAAGTTTTTTCATCTAAAACATTTTTAGGAAAAAACTTTATAAAAAGCTCTCATATTGTCGACGCTTTTATGCTACTTATAAAAAGCGAGTCTCCTATGCTACTTGACAACTCGAATTTCATTATTCGTTTATGAAATTGTCATAGTCTGTCTTGTCTTTCCTTTTTTTCTCAATTGAAGATTTTATGAAGATTAAAGCTTCGATCTTTTGTTTTGGATAATACTTGCAACCGTTAAAATTCCATGATTAGTAATCATTATACAAGTCATGATCCTCATTCCGGGCATACAATTTCATGGATGCGAAACCATATTAAGTACTCTTGTATATTATTTGTCTATTTATTGTAGAGATTTAAAGAACGAAAAAGATAGAATCTACATTATTGTGATACAATAATAACTTGATACCATGAATGCTCATAATTTCCTCGGTTTCCCCTTTAACGTGGTTTTGGGTCGATAACCGGTTCCAATATTTGTTATGAGGGTTTAAATATCTTCAAATGCCCTAGATGAGTCGGAAAAAAATGACTCTTATCTCTATTATAACTTATATATATATATATATATATATATATATATATATATATATATATATATATATATATATATATATATATTGGAATATGAAAATAAAAATAAAACTAGTAGCTAGGAACGACAATGGGGCGGGGCATGGTTTCCCAAACTCACCCCGATATATTTCGGGTATCTTATTGGGGTGCTTCATCAGGTTTCAGGTATTTTATCGGGTTTACAACAATTAATAACGAAAACTTTATTCCGTTTTAAGGTACCCCGATGTCTTATAAAAAATAATTTTCTAACCTCCATTTTAAATAAAAAAATATGATGCATCACTTTAATAAAAAAAAACTTGACATTATATTAAAAAATATTGGATTTAAGTTTAGTGTAATACGTCAAAACATAAAAAATAATCATTCATACCACATTGTTAATAACTAAAAAGATTGTCCACAGTAAATAATTTATCTTTAAATACATCCAATTAACATGAAAAAGATTTAAACATTATATCAACCAAAGTTGGAGTTTGATATACCTGTCATTAGGAAATAATAGATATGAAGAAAGAATATCAAGAGTATGAAATTAGTGTGAAAACTAAACTTAAATGGGTTATATTATAATAGGTAAATGTAAAAATGTAGCCGGTTGTTAAAAATGGATTGTTTGAAATCAAATCATTTGTCTTATATAGTATATATTAAAGGCTACAATTTTGCCACTTATCCTATCTTTTAAGGATATCTCTGTCTTTTGTAGTCTTTAAGCTGTACCACAAGTTGTTTTATTTCATTATCAGTTTTTGAAGTGAATTTGAAACCATAGAATAAAAAGAGATAAAATGAAAAACAGAAGAATAAAAGTTGAGGGGTTTGTATTCTTGAATATGCAAATGGAGAGTAAGAAGAGGAGCAGGGTTTGTGTCACCGGAGGTGGTGGTTATATTGGATCAGCCCTGGTTCACTCACTTCTACAATGTGGCTACACTGTCCATGCTACTCTTAGAAACCTTGGTACGTACCCTTTCTTTTCTCCCAAACACTCTGCTAATTCCTCTACATCACAAGATAATATGCATCATTGTAATTATACATACATACATACATACATACATACATGCACGTACATTGTAGGTGATGAATCCAAGGTGGGGCTTTTGAGAGGTTTCCCATACGCTGAAGACGAGCTTCATTTGTTTGAAGCTAATATGTACAAACCAGAAGAGTTTGAAGAAGCAATACAAGGTTGTGTCTTTGTTTTCCATGTTGCAACCCCTTTGTTACACACTACTGGCTACAAGGTATATATCATATTTTTAAGATGATGCATGACCAATAATAATCATGATTCTTAAAACTATTGATGACGGTGCTTAATTATCTCCAGTACAATGATATGGTTGAAGCAACAATTAGTGCAGCGAAGGAGATCGCAGATATTTGCATACGATCAAGGACAGTGAAGCGTCTCATCTACACTGCCTCAGTTGTCGCAGCCTCACCATTGAAAGATAATGGGAGTGGTTATAATATCACCATAGATGAAAGTTGTTGGACACCCCTTCATCTCAATGTCCCTTACAACAATAATTACAGAAAGGTTTTTAGCAATTTCTCTGCATGTTTCTTGATTGATTAGGGTTATATATGTTACTAAATTTCCAATTTGTTTGTGGGATTCTCTTTAGGACTACACAGAATCGAAAACAAAAGCCGAGCAAGTGATCTTGAAAATTGGGGAAGAGAAAGCAAGTGAACTGGAGGTGGTGACATTAGGTTGTCGGCTGGTGGGAGGGAGAGGTCATCTACCATATGCTCCAGACAGTTTGTTGGTGTTGATATCTCAAATTATCAATCATTCAACTCATTACGAGTCACTAAAGTACTTAGAAGAATTGTTAGGAAAAATCCCGATTGTGCATATTGAGGACACTTGTCGAGCACATATCTTTTCTGCTGAGACTCCATCGGTTAATGGAAGATTCTTATGTGCTAGCTCTTACATATCAACTGCAGAAATCGCCAAGTATTTTCAGGAAAACTACCCACAGTTCCATTTGAAACAAGAGTAGGTTGATCTTCATAATCGGAAATTTATTGTTGTTTTGTTGAAAGTGTTACTTTGCTGCTATATATATATATATATATATATATATATATATATATATATATATATATATATATATATAGTTAGGTTCACGTGAAACGGCCTAATTTTGTGAGACCGTGAGACGCATTTTTTTATTTTTTTATTTTATTTTTTTTTAGTTAATTAAAGTTCCAAAAATAATATTTAAAAAAAAAATTTGGATTTTTTCATTTATTTTGCATTTTAAAATTATTTTTTTTAGAATATATACAGTATAATATTCTATTAGAATATTTAACGTATTTTTTTAAAAAAAAATGGGATTTTTATTTATTTTTTTATTTTTTTTAGTCAATTCAAGTTCCGAAAATAATATTTAAAAAAAGAATTTTTAGATTTTTCCTTTTATTTTGCATTTTAAAATTATTTTTTAGAATATGTACAATGTAATATTCTACTAGAATATTTCACGTATTTTTCAAAAAAAACGGGATTTTTTTTATTTATTTTAGTTAATTCAAGTTCCGAAAATAATATATAAAAAAAGAATTTTTGGATTTTTCCATTGATTTTGCATTTTAAAATTATTTTTACATTTGGTCTCACGGTATCACAAAATTAGAATGGTCTCAAATGAACCTGAACCTATATATATATATATATATATATATATATATATATATATATATATATATATATATATATATATATATATATATATATATGTGTGTGTGTGTGTGTAAACAAATGATACTGTAACTAGCTGATGTGGGACACTAACATAAACTTCAAAATTTGTAACGTGGTTCTTGTTTCAGGTACTTTGAAGAACAGATGAGAGATACCAAATGGGGCTCGCACAAGCTCGAAGATTATGGTTTTGGTTACAAGTACAATATGAAGACGATCTTAGATGATAGTCTCAAATGTGCAAGTGTCTCGAAGACACTCCAGTCAATGTCAAATTAATATCAAGAAACATAAGTAGTAACTAAGGACCTATCAAAATACATGTACAAGACTAGGTTTTGTTACGTTAGATTAAGGTTATGTTAGTTGAAAATCTGGCGGATAGCTGAAAAGCTATTTGTTAAATAAAAAGCTAGCTAATAGCTGAAAAGCTAACTGATAAAAAGTGATGTTTGGTAAATCTAGTGAATGTGTTTCTATAATTAATTAGGGGGGTATTTTTGGAAAATTTTTAAAAATCTCTCAAAAAGATAGTCTAAGTAGCTTTTTAGAAAACTAGCTTATAAGTTACTTTTTGGCTTACCAAACATGACAACGTAAAAAAGCTCGAAAAATAAGCTAGCAAATCAGCTAGCTGTGGCGCGCCAAACATAGCCTAAGTTAAGCCCTCAAATCACTTTATGGCATTAAAAGCACTTTGTTGGTCTCTAAATCTTTTTACCATTAGATGTTAGTCATTGTGATTTAACTTCCAACTATCTTAATTACCTATAAACACAGTTAGCAGGAATGTTGTTGTTGGTGTTTTACCTTTTAATTAACATGTTAGCCAACCAATGCAAACATTTTCAATATATTTTACCTTTATCTATTTGTTAAACACACAAAGCCTTGTAGAGACGGTTATATCGATTTTCAACCCTTATGCAACCTTTTTCGAGAGAAAATACTAATTAATTGACCAACATTATAAAAAGCTTTAATAGAATAGTCCTTAAGTGGAACCAAGTGACTACTCTTTGAAGTTAAATTCGAGTCGTGGAAACTTATCAAAATTGCCTTATACAAATGTGCACTGCATACCTTTCACATTCGTATAAATAAGTGTGCACTTTCGAGTCCCCTTTCATTCGTATAGATTTCAGTTGCACAAACTCACCAACACTGATGAATCCAGTGTTTAATAAAAGAAAATTTTCCACTAGATTGCAAAAGTGAGATGCATGTCGCACAAACCTTCTCTATGTTGTTGATGAAGGCAATTTGGTACACCGACTTGTAAGTCACGTGCCATTTGTTCTCGATTAGATCATGTGACATGTAGCAAGATAAAGTGACTTGTGGTAAGTTGCAAAATTAGAGCATCCACGATAACAGTTTTTTTAGCCAAAAAATATTCTTGAAATATGAAAATGCTATAAAATAAGTTTTTTCAATTGAAAGTTTTTTCTAAATGTGTGCTAATTAACAAACTATTCACATTAGCTTTTTCAATTATTGTGTGGGTCTCAAACTCTCATGCGTTTTCAACCAAATAGAAATTAACAAGCTATTCAAATGAGCGTTTTCAATTATTGTGTGGGTCTCATATATTTTAAACCAATTAGAAATTGACAACTTAATTAAAAAAACATAAAAATCAATTTGAAAAAACTCTCCTTGTGGAGCTTTTTATAAGTTTTTCATCTAAAACATTTTTAGGAAAAAACTTTATGAAAAGATCTCATATTGTCGATGCTTTTATGCTACTTATAAAAAGCGAGTCTCCTATGCTACTTGACAACTCGAATTTCATTATTTGTGTATGAAATTGTCATAGTCTGTCTTGTCTTTCCTTTTTTTCTCAATTGAAGATTTTATGAAGATTAAAGCTTCGATCTTTTGTTTTGGATAATACTTGCAACCGTTAATTATTCCATGATTAGTAATCATTATACAAGCCATGATCCTCATTCTGGGCATACAATTTCATGGATGCGAAACCATATTAAGTACTCTTGTATATTATTTGTCTATTTATTGTAGATATTTAAAGAACGAAAAAGATAGAATCAATTTTATTATGATACAATAATAACTTGATACCATGAAAACTCATAATTTCCTCGGTTTCCCCTTTAACGTGGTTTTGGGTCGATAACCGGTTCCAGTATTTGTTATGAGGGTTTAAATATCTTCAAATGCCCTGGATGAGTCGGAAAAAAATGACTCTTATCTCTATTATAACTTATATATATATATATATATATATATATATATATATATATATATATATATATATATATATATATATATGTATGTATGTATAAATTGGAATATGAAATTAAAAATAAAACTAGTAGCTAGGAACGACAATGGGGCGGGGCATGGTTTCCCAAACTCACCCCGATATATTTCGGGTATCTTATTGGGGCGCTTCATCGGGTTTCGGGTTTTCCAGTCGGGTTTCAGGTATTTTATCGGGTTTACAACAATTTATAACGAAATCTTTATTCCGTTTTTGGGTACCCCGATGTCTTATAAAAAATACATTTTCTAAACTCCATTTTAAATGAAAAATATGATGCATCACTTTAATAAAATAAAGTGGACATTATATTAAAAAATATTGGATTTAAGTTTAGTGTAATACGTCAAAACATAAAAAATAATCATTCATACCACATTGTTAATAACTAAAAAGATTGTCCACAGTAAATAATTTATCTTTAAATACGTGCAATTAACATGAAAAAGATTTAAACATTATATATAGAAAATCGGGGCCGGGCGGGGCGGGTCAGGACGAGGATAACCAACTCCCTGCCCCGAACCTGATAAAAATCCCGATAACGACCTGTTAACCGACCCAAAATGATCGGGTTTCGGGTTTCCCCATCGGGTTCGGGCGTTTTTGTCATCCCTAAATTTTGATACGTTATAAACACTTAACAAAGAATGACATTCTAGCTAAAACATGTATGGTGTTTATTCAATGACAACAAAATTCCATCAAATACCCTATACAAACTTTCATATAGTTAACAAAAGTTGGAGACCCTAAAAATCCCGATTTAAGTCTATTTTGGACTAGGATTTTCTTTTTGTGCCTAATGGACAAATAAGCTTCCAATTTGACTATGTTGGGCTTAGAACTCTTAAATGAGCTCTAATTGGACCCACATTCATTTATTTTAACATTTTGGACCATAATGGGCCTAGAACGAAATAAAATACCCTTATTGGGCCATAACAAATCTAATTAACCTAAATGGACCATAAAACCTATTATTTTTGACAAATTGAGCCGTAAGCCATCATAGGAACCCATTGGGCCAAAAACCATTAAGTTGGGCCTCACATTATGAGACTTAAGCACAAAAGGCCCAAACCCTCTTTTCCCTTCTCTCTTTCTCAGCCTAAGTAGGAAACAAACAAAAAAAAAGGGAGAAAGATGCAAAATAGGGAGGGTTGACTTTGGGAGGTGCCACCTCCTTATTGCACACCATGTACCTATACATGGACCAACATGCATCTATAATGGTCACCTCACCCTCTCTCTCTTCTCCTTCTTCTACTCACGGCCAAGGGTCACCAAACACACACACACATATCTTCAAACTCTCTTCCCAAACATTCTCAAGAACACTCTTATTCCTCCATCACAATTTTCGAGATCTAGGGCATTTCAAGGAGGTTTTTCCACAAAAATCATCATCCTAGGTAAGTTGATGTTTAGATCCGTGGTTTAGCTTCTTGAATCTTGTATAATTCTCCTTCTAACTCATGAAAGTTGATGATCATGCTTCTTAGAACCTATCTAAGTCAAAGTCTTCTCAAGAAGCTTTCTAGGGTCGAATAAATAACATCAAACTCTTCCATCCTCTCTTCAAAACCGAAAACACCAAGCAAAGGTGAGTTCATACCCCTCCCTTTTCGGTTTTCACAAGTTTTATGGGGGAGAATACAAGTAAAATGTGTAGATCTATGTGTATGTTGTATGTTATGTGTGATTTCATGTGTTTATGAGGTAAATATGTAACAAAATGAGAGAAATCTCGAGATCTATGGCTCTAGGAGTAAGATAAACATGATCTAAGATATGTTACACTAAACAAGTCAAAATAAAATTTTCATGATACTTTATTATGGTTTGAGATATTAACGTATGGGTTTTTATTCTATGATATTGATATAATGATTTAGTCATGATTAAAAAAAATTGGGTCATATTTTGGGATGTTACATCATGCATGACTAAATCTTAACGTCCAAGATTGGATTTTTATGGATTTATAACCCAAGATACACTGAAATGGGGTAGATCAAGGTCCATTGAGTTCCTTTGCACAGAAAGTCTCCACCTTTGGGACTTAAACCCTAAAAATGCTTCTATATGATGTTCATAGAAAAAAGTCGTAAAGTTTGAATCTTTTTACCTTTGTGAGAAGCTCCCGACTCAGTTTAGCTCGGATCTAGAAACTTGGACTCCAACCTTTCCTCTTCAAGGTCTTCTCTTCTTCTTCACAAGCACACAATGACACTTTCAAGCTCAAACACACACACACAAGCTTGGAATGAAGGTTTAGCTCTCTAAGGGTTTCACTCTCCGCAAATGGTGGATGGGATGGAAGACATGGCATTCCTTTTATAATGCTCATGTCTCACTTAGGGTTTTAAGTTTGATCCCAGTACGCCCCACGTACACCTTGGTACGCCCCGCATACTGGGCTGAGTCTGCGTTCCCATGGTATGTGCAGCGTACTCTTCAGTACGCCCAGCATACCCACTTGTCGTTATTTTCCACTTTGGGCTAATTTTGACAACTTGGAAAAAGAAGAAGTATTAAAGAGATATACCTGAATTTTGAGGTGTTACAATTCTCCCCTATTAGAATTAGACTTCTCCCTCGAACTCTCACTCCGCAAACAACTCTGGATGTTGCTCCTGCATCTCCGTCTCCGACTCCTAAGTCAGCTCGGACCCTCTTCGATGTTACCATTGGACCTGAACCAGAGGAACTTCCTTTTTCCTCATAACCTTGATCTTCCAATCCAAGATTGCGATCGGCCTCTCAATGTAATGCAGGCTCGCATCCACCTGAATATCCTCTAGTGACACTACTATCATCTCATCGGTTATACACTTCCTCAACTGGGATACGTGGAAGGTATCATGGATCTGACTGAACTCCCGGGGTAGCTCTAATCGGTATGCTACCTTGCCCACTCTAGCCATCACCCTGAAAGGGCCAATGAATCGGGGCCCCAGCTTTCCCCACTTCCTGAACTGGATCACTC